GCAGGAATAATTGTTAGCGATAAGAAGTGGAAATCTGTCTAAGTAAGCCCTGTGTCTCCTGTCCCCCTGCCTGGGGCCTCATGGGCTCCCACCTCTGAATCCTACTCTGAGAATTGCTCCTGCTCCCAGAGTGGTGGGGCAGGCGGCCAGAAAAGAGTGCTAGTGAGTGGGAGTTGGTAGCCCGGTTTCTATGGGGTGACCCACTAGCCCTGACACTGTGTGGGGTGTCAGTCCATGGCTTTTCCCAGGTTCTCAAGGTGATGTATATTCCCCAAAGGGTTAACCCAGCACCGCCTTTATGGGTAAACTCCTTCCTGCAACTGCTCAGTCATTAGCCACTTAATTTTCCCTGTACAGTCAGTTATTAAGCACGTTTGGTAAGCCTAGTAAATGTTCTTTGAGCTGCGGTGCCAGGGGCCAGCCTGCCCTGGGAACAACCGAGTGGCAGACAGAGGCAGCCATGGTGGGAGCACACCCAGCCCCACACTCTTCCACGGGGCCCTGTCCTGGGCCTGTTCTTTCCTGGTGAAGGCCACGGAGGCAGATGCTGTCTGTCTGCACTCACCGCCTTCCTTCTTGCTCTTGTGAGCATCATAATCCCCCCTGGGAAGTTCATGGGGTCTAAATCAAAATTAAATGTAGCCCGGGCCATCTTCTGCTGCTTCTCCCTTGCGATCTCATTCTCAATGGCAACTGTAGATTTTTATATTTTTTATGATAATTTTTCTGACTGATGGAAGTAAAATGTTTTGGGGAATGGACCCCTTTTCCTACTTTGCCCAATGGTAACCTGTGGTGGCTTTGCCAAACCTCCTCTAGAGACCCTGTGTGAATGGCCCAGTAAATTTGTCTAATTGGGCTGTAAAGAGCAGGTCTAGGACCAGCAATTAAAAGCTGCAGGTGGCCGGGCAAGGGCTCACCCCTGTAGTTCCACTATTCCAGAGGCTGAGGCCAGAGGATCGCTTGAACCCAGGAGTTCAAGGTTACAGTGAGCTATGATAGCACCACTGCACCCTAGCTCTGGGAGACAGAGTGACACCCTATCTCTAAAACAGAAATAAAAAAATGAAAGCTGTAGGGACCATTTCGTCTGTACATAATGAAGAGCTTTCTAAGCATAGAGCCATCCAAAGAGAGTGGATTGCTGTGGGAGATAGTTCTGCATTAGGAAAAATACTCACACACAGGCCAGAAAACCGTTTGGCTAGAATAGTATAGAAAGGATTTAAGATGCTTGGACTAGGTGGTGCTAAGGTACCTTCCAATCTTGAGATTTTCTGAGATTACTGTTATCTATTGGGTTTTACTTTGGACATTGTAGTCTGCAGAAAATAATTTCCAACCATTCTCATCCATTTTTAAAATATGTGTCTATGAAGGAGCTGAGGATAGAGTTGTAGGCAAGAAGTGGTTTGGGTAAGTTCTATTTATACAATACACCCTCTCCCCTTTCCCTCATTCCCACTCTGTTCTCCCTCAGCTTCCTCTGGGGAGGTCATGCTGAGACTGTTCTGGGCAAAGAAAGTGGGAATAAGTTGGGGTAGTGGGGAAGGTAGAAAGGGTATCCCTTTAGCTGCCCATGATATTGCTAAGCCTAAGTTATATACTAGAATAAATAAATGACAAATAGAAAGTTGGGTAGGTCACGCAGTGCTCAGCACTCTATGGGGAGAGTCAAAAGGGTGATGACATGAAAAACAGCAAGACACAGGTGTGTGTGCACAGGTGCATGTGCAGTTGTGGCTGGTGGACCACAGGCCCATCTACTCCAGAGAAAGCCCAGCATGTGGGTAATTGTGTGACAACTTTAGGAAGAAGCATTTTCTCCCCCTCTGTGGGGAAATCGCTTAGCTTGCCATTTCTTTCTAGAAGGAGTAGGAGATTTGAGCCAATGCGAACAATTAGAAAGCCCAGTTTTGATCACTTTGTCCCAACCTGGCTGAGGGAGGACCCCTCTCCTGGGCTCCCATTCTCCACTGGGGTCCGTTAGGGGCCACGTCTTCCATGCCCACTGGCACCTGGGGATGAGGGGATCTCACTCACTCGGGTGGGCGTGTTGGGGCTCTTCTGGTTACCGAGGGGTCAGGGAGAAAGTCTGTGAATGGCTCTTTTTCAAGGCCTCCTCACGTGGGAATTCTGGTCTTAGAGCCGCACACTTTCAGAGCTAGAGAAGACCTGAGTGGTCAGACCTCTTGTCCACCCCATGGTCTTGCTCAGAGTCACAGCCCTACCCCACTCAGTCCTCTGAGGAGGGTCCAGTCAATGTGGCAGAGTGAGCCAGGGCGACTTTGATCCTTCCCAGGGCTCCGCCCAGAACACCTCACAGCCACCACCCAATAAGAATGTCCTGGGCTAGACCACCCGGGGATGCCCCTTTAACAGAAGCTTCTGGAAGATGAGGGTGTCTGTTGTGAGAGCTGACAGGCAGATGTGTAGGAGAGACAAAGGTTGTGGCTTCAGTGACTGGAAGGAAATATGTTATCTTCTCATTTTTGCTAAGGCAAGGTCAGGACTGAGGTCAGCAGCGGGCAAGGGCTTTGATGTGAGACACAGGCCCTGGTGGAATGGAGCCCAGGGGCTTTCTGCAGAGCTGAGCGTCTCCCTTTCTGCTTCTCTGAGGCTCAGTGCTAAGGATTCGGGTATTTCTGATGCAGGGTCGGGAGGGGGTTGCAGGACAGCCCCCGCAAAAGCAGTGGGAAATTGTATGTACTCAGAACGTGAATTGCTGGTGGGGTGGCTGTGTGACATGGCAGAGGCAGGGGATGGAGCGGTTTTCCCCCTGCCCTCCTTTTCACCCTGTGTCTTTGCCCCGTAGGTTTGCACTTGGACCTAGACGCTAAATCGAGGCTAATCTCTCCTAAAAGGACCAACCAGTAGTGAAAAGTTGGATGGGGAGAAGAGGCCCCTCTGTTGAATAGGGTTTTCCAAGAGGAGAGGAGCTGGAGGGCAGAAAGCAGATCCTGGCTGAGCCCTGCTGTCCCCTGGCCTGGGGGTCCTTGGAAGGAAAAGGGCTGCACATTCCCCCCTCATGACCTGGGGGCTGTCCTCTGCATTGTTCCCCGACTTAGTGGAAGGGAAGGGTATCCAGGGCTTAGGGAAATGAATTTGCTAAGCTTCCTAGATTCAAATTCCAGCTCTAAAGACTATCAACCTCCCTGTGCCTCAGTTTCCCCATCTCTCATATAGGGATAATAATAGCACCTACCTGACTAGGCTGGTCAATGAGTGTATAAGAAGAACTTGGAGCAGGGCCCAGCACAGAGCAGTAATGGTTATCGCTGGGAGCAGGAGGAGTTAGCAGGGGGCAAAAGCATGCACATGGGCACTGCAATCGGCCTGTCCTCTTTGGCCCCTGGCACCGCCACTCACCTGCTGTGGGACCTGGGCAAGTTGCTTCAAGTGCCCTGAACTTTGGCTTTGCCCTCTGTGAAACAGGACTGCTCTCCCTTCACGGAACTGTTGTGAGGATTAAATGGAATAATGCAGGCAGAGTTTAGCGGGCTTGGCACGTGGTAGATATAAACTTTTCTTCTGAAGTTCAAGGGTGGTGGTCTACCTGGATGTCACCTATGACCTCTGAAAACCTTAGGGGTTGAGGATAGGAGAGCAGTGGTCATTTCTGTCCCTGCTTCACCCTCATCTCAGCCTCCCTGAGCATTAGGAAGGGAGGCTGAGAAATTAATAAGGCCACAGGGTGGGGTCCAGAAGACTGTGGTCAGCTTGGGGGGCAGCTGGGCAGTGTGAGCAGAGGCAGCAAAGGGCAGCGGGCGTGGAGGTGCGTGGAGCATGCCTGTCCCCAGCAGGCACACATCCCACTCCCATGGCCCGTGGGAGGGGGCCGGCCTAGCTCAGCCCATCTTAGCTCGTTTTCCACTGAGGTTTTCCTCGGGTGTTGCCTGGGGGCTGGCAGTGCCGGAGAGGGTGCAAGTGACTTGGGCTGGTAGCTCTTGGACTGGGCCCAGGTCTTGGAAGCCCCTTGGGCTGTCCCCTTCCCTACCTAGTCAGGCCACTGGGAGAAAGCAGTCTCTGAAGAGAGATAAAAGCTGGGGGTCTGGACCTGCTCCATCTGGGATTGGGCAAACAGGTCTTTGCCAGGGGTCAGGGTCAGGTAATTGTATATCTATGTATTTCCCCAGTGACCTCCTGTTGGCATCAGGGAAGGGAGGAAGTGCATGTGTGTGTGCGCGCGCATGTGTCCATCTGTCCATCTGTCAGTCTGTCTCTGCAGGTGACTGAGCAGGCCAGACATAGGTAGCAGTGGGAAGGGTGAAATTCTGCCAGTCCCCCACCTTGGTGACCCATCAGGCCTCTCAGACCCAGAGTCTGGGCCTGAGAGTCAGCCCACTGCAGCCTTCACTGAGGTCCGGGGTGTTAAGCATGTCTGGGGAAGAGCTAAAAGTGGCAGCAAACATCCTGTTTGAAAGCAGCGTGTTGCTGTATTTAACCCCTGCAGCACCTGTCCCGCCTACGCCCAGTCTCCGCAGACGGGAGCTCTCAGACTCCTGCCTTTGAAGCTGTCCCGCCACCTGGTCCGGCTCCTCTGCCGCTGCCCTGCAGCCTGGCTCTCAGCAATGGACATGCCACCCCGTGGCTCTGTCCTGAGCATGCCTACCACTGGGGACAGGGGGAGCATGAGGGCTCCCTTAGAAAGGGGCCCTTCCCCCGCTGACACCCTGAGCTGGGAGAGGAAGAGGAGAGCCTACAGCAGGGGTGCTCTCCTTTCACCCATGCCTGGGTGCTGCCCTCACCCCTTCCCACTGCTTCTTGCTGCTCCCTGCCTCAGGGAGGGCCATTCTGGTGGCTGCCTGGCCCCGCCCCAAGCCCTGAGGGAGATGACATGGCACGCCTGTCCCCAACAAGCCACTTCTGCTTCAGTCCCTGACGTGGTGACTGAAGTCCCTGGAAAGAGCCTCTCATGCACGCTCGTTGGGCTCCTTAGAGGAATGGCTGGGAGGTTGGAGCTGTGTTTTAGAGAAAACCTTTTCTCTTCCTCGTTGCAGAAGCTTTTTGGTCTGCAGTGTCTGTGAGCGCTCACAGAAGAGCACCTTGCACTCCGCTTACCTGCCCCTGCTCCTTCAGGTAGGTGTTTCCCATCAGCCACTGCCTCCCTGGCTTTCTGCGTTTGAGAGGTGGGGGGTCAGAGCAAGGTGGTGGGCAGGGAAGGAAGGGAACACTACCCGAGGCTTTGCAGCTGAGACCCACGGGTGGGGGGGTGCGTGGCTGCTCAGAGAGGCTCAGGAGAGAGAGTCTTGCTGCCTGGGGGGAGGGCCAAGGACCCCAGGGGGCCATCCTGCCTGTTTGGTGTTTCCTATCCACCCCCCATCTCCTCTTTCTCTCTCCTGCCTGCCCGTAGCCCCTGCCTGTCATTCGTGGGACTTTCAGCTCTCAGGCCATGGAGTCCTGGGCCTCTTCTCCACGTCTGGTCTCTGGTCCTGGGCTCTGGCTTCTTGGTACCAGCGAGTAACCAAAAGCAGGTCTGGGTCAGCTCCCCTGAAACAGTCCTGCACACTGTGGGCCTCTGGCTGCCGGATCCAGCCTTCCCGTTGAGCCTAACCCAGTGCCCCGGCCCTCACCCCAGGCCAGGAGACTTCTCGATGTCAAGGCAGTCAGTCCCTCACCCCACACAGGACTGCACTGCTGCCGTGCTGCGTAGTGTGTTGTCCAACTCGCTTGCATCATAGCATCTCCAAGTGAGCCATGTGCTGCTGAACTCTTGTTGGATACACTTGACTGATATCCCCCCACCACCAATTTGAGTTCTCTTTTTGCCACCAAATCCACTGAATGTTTGGGAGCCTGGATGACCCAGACTCTGCAACAACATCACGATGACTCGGAGCTGTGACATCTCAGCTGACCTGGGGTTAAACCGCAGCATCCTAGACAGTTTCTCCAATGACCCCACCATGGAATTGGGCCTCTGGGATCCCTGCTCACATCTTGGATGTGTGCTGTGTTCTGAAACCTGTGGGAGTCAGCTGGGACTTGGGATGGTCTATAGGGACAATGTTGACAGACCCACAGGCACTTTTTCTATTTTTAGTTTCATAATTTCATAATTTGTTTTAAATTATGAAATGTCTCATATATATAGAAGGGCATATGAACATAGACATAGTGTTTTCATCATCATAATAAGATACCATAGACCTACTACTCAAAAAATAGAATACTTCTAGTGCATAGCACCTCTACATACTCCTCTCCAATCTCCACTCTTCAAAGGCTTCTGTTAATCATTCCTGTGTTCTTTTCTTATGTGAGAAAGAGAGTGAGAGAGAGAAAGAAATATATAGAAAGAGCAAGCAAGATAGAGATATGTATACACACAGAGAGAGAAAGAGAGGGTTTGTGTGTGTGTGTGTGTGTGTGTGTATAGACATTATAGTATAGGAAGTATAAATCTAGCTATGAACAGAATGGGCAATAGTGTCACTATTATTAAATTAAGGTTTCCAGGAAAATAAAAGCTGAAAGAGGAGGTTTAGGGCTCTCCCGTGTCTGTCTGTGACCAGGATTTGCTGTGTCCCTTCAGGACTGACAATGCTCTGTCCTTCCTTATCTTCCATCCCTTGGTGTGAAGCTCTTTACGGGATTTAAAAAAAAATAGGTATTTGTTTTGTGCATTTTGCAATAGTAGTTGCTAGAGATGTCTCAAGGCTTGGGCATCTCTGGACCTCACTTGTAAACAGGGTGGTACGAAGAGGAAATGAAATGAGACTCTAATGAGTTTTGATGTTCCAAAGCCTGGATCAGAGATTGTGGCCCTTGACATGCAAAAGTAGCTCAGAGCCTCTCAAGAACCCTCAGGGATCTACCTCTGGCCTAGGGGCGGGAAAAAAATGGTACCCTGGGCTGGGGATGGGGGATGCTTGTCCCCTCATTCCTGGCTTTCTCTCCTATTTTTCTGCTGACCTGAGGGACCCTTTTGCTTTGGTCAAAGGGGCCACTTAAACCTGTAATGTCCCTTGTTAGGATTCAGATGAAACTGGGAGGCAGCAGGATCTGAAAGCATTTTAGGGAGGACTGAGGCGTCCCAGAATGAGCTCTGAGCGTGACAGCGGTCAGGATCAGAGGCAGCAGGCGACGCCAAGGGCCCAATTTGCCTAATGGAGGAGTCCAGCCAGCTGCTTCCTGAGAAGGGCCTTCCAGAGCTGTACATCATGTTCCCTCTCCCCTTTTGCCCAAGTGGGAAATCATGTCTAGATGATAATGCCTATTTATGAAAAACGACTTTGAAAACAAAATTAGTTAATTGTGTATGACTCACATGACTCAGAAGGATAGTCAAACTAATGTTTTAAATATTATTGCAAACAAAAGGGGAAAGTATTCTGGTCACCTTGGTACCAGGACACTGGGGCATGCACCTGTTAGTCCCCAGCTGTATGGGCAGGGCTCCAGCTTGGGTGCTTGAGTCCTCTGTTCCCATCACCCTCAAGAGGACAGGAGGTGAGGGTTGTCACTGCATGTGAGGGGCTGAAGTTGTGGGAGGGCTCCTATTTTCTCTAGGAGAGGGTGCTAGGCAAGATAGAGGCCCCTGAGCTGGTTCAGGTCTGTGACGGGCAGCGCCGGTGCCAGTGGTGTGCATATGTTCATTCCCATGATCCTCACTCACACCCTAGAAGGAAAATGCCTATTCAGATGAGGACAGGGTTGGGGGGCACATCGAGGCCAGCCATCTCCTCCAAAGTAGCCCAGCAGATGCGGCATCTGTACCCAGGCAGTTGGAGTCCAGGCGGTGCTCTGAGCCAGCAACCCAGAGAAATGGTGCTCAGGCCCCGGCCCTGGGGAGCTGCCCAGCTCTGCTGAGCTCATGGGTGGGGGGGACGCTGTGGGCAGGGGAAGGGGTGGTACCAAGGATGCCAGGGGGTCCTGGCACTGACTATGGCTATGGCTATGACTTGACTGCTGTTCTTACAGGGATGGAGGCGATGGCGGCCAGCATGTCCCTGCCTGACCCTGGTGACTTTGACCGGAATGTTCCCCGGATTTGCGGGGTGTGTGGAGACCGAGCCACAGGCTTTCACTTCAATGCTATGACCTGTGAAGGCTGCAAAGGCTTCTTCAGGTGAGGCTTCCTCCCAAGCTCTCTCCAAGAATAAGGGAAGGGACGGAAGCAAGACGTCCCCACGAAGAAGACCCCTGCATTTCCCATGTCTCTTCCTTCCATGTCCATGGAACATGCCAGCTCTCACAGCCATGGGGGCAATGGGGTCTTGGTGAGGGGTATCTTCTCCCCAACCCCAGCTCCAGCTGTGTCCTCTGGTCCTATTGGAAATCACTTTCCTGAGGCTGCTGTGTGGGTCTTCATCTTCCCCCTGTCACTCCTTGGACCACAGCCCCCTGCACCGACCCATGTGTCTGTCCTTCCAGAGTGGACCTCCTCCCCAGCTCATGTGCACAGCCTCCTAACCCAAGAGACCAGCATGTCTTTGGGGAAGCCCAAGAACTTGGCTTCAGAGTGTACCTCCCCATCTGATCCAACTGCGCCCCTATTGGGCCTCCGTACCTGATCTGTACCCATATCTTCACCCGTGGCTTCTCTGTCCCAGATCTGAAAGCCAACCTCAGAATGCCCAGGCAACGTCAGGAATGCACCAGCAATCCGGTTTGGTCAGGGCCAGTTTCTCTACCAGTTCCTCTTCTCTCCTTTCATGAGCATAGGATTACAAGGGCAAATGGTGTGGGGAAAGCCCCGGAAAGGCCCAAGGAGTTTCCCAACCAAAGCCAGGGAGGGAGGATGGGAAAGTGATGGATTGCAGGTTGGAACTGGGAACCAGGAGAGATTCGCACTGGCATATACGACAGAGAGAGTAAGCAGCCTGGAAGAAGGAGGCCCAAAGAGAGCATAGGTCTAACCATCAGGGTTGGAGGTGGGTACAGTGGAGGACAGGGCTGTGACTGTCACCTGGGGAAAAAGCACATCGGGTCCAAGGTGAGCACTCTGAGGTTGGCCTGGCTCCTGTCTGACCTGAAGACCTTGCTTCACCTTGAGGGCAGAGTGAATCAAGAGTCCAGGGGACTCTTGTGGTACACACTCCTCTGGCATAGGGACTCCGGGCACTCTCGACTCACCTGCCTTTCACCCCAGGAACCAGCAGGCCTGAGTTTCATGGCCTTGAGCAATTGCTGGGCAGCGGGTTTCTGTGGGTGCTAATTGTTTGCAGCTCGGGGAACCAGACCAGCAGCATCGCTGGCTCTAGGTCCTGTCAATCCTCGGGCCTAAAGCCTACACTTCCTGCAGGGTGGGCCTTCCAGAGCCCAGGCCGTGTGTCTCAGGTACCACCCGGACCCTTTCCTGCCAGGGCCTGAGAAAGGGAGCTGCCTCCCGGGTGGTAGTGGAGAAAGAATCTGGGCACACACATCAGGACCTGCTTCCTGCCATGAAACCCTCAGCAATGCGTGGGCTGGGGTGAGGCCATTAATTGACTGATGTCCTTGCTCAAACACCGTGGCTTTTCTGTGTTTCAGGTAACTCAACTAACCCTATGAGTGTATTGATATCTGACCCCCCTACTACATAGAGCTAATCTGAGGATTAATGAGATAGCATATATAAAAGTGCTTTGAAAAACATAAAGAACAATGTATTGTTTTTTAGACTGATGGGCCACTATTGCTGCCTTTAGTGGAACCATGCCCTCATAAAATAAACAAAAGTCTCTCCAGCCAGCCAGGCAGCCATCCTCATTTTGTGCTTTCTCTCACTCACTCCCTCACCAGATTTGAATGAACACTGATGATCCAGCATTGGGCTAGGAGCTGGCAGCATGGAGATTCTCGTCAAAGGCCATAGCTCACCAATCTGCCACCAACACGTCCCCAACAGCACTTGAGGCTGTTTGGTTAATTCATTGACCAAACAGCCTCAAGCTGACCCCAAATCCTTCTCTCTTCCCAGGCCACCTAACCCCTGGTATCCGGCTCTGGGAAATGGGACCCTTGGGTGGCTGCATGTTGGATTATGACATATTGGAGGTCAGTTCCTCACTAGAGTGGCTCTAACTCCTGTTACCTGTGGTTGCTGTCCTTGGACACACCACTAGCCTCTGAATGCTTGGGACAGGACCGTGTGAGTCACCTGAGTAGAGGAAGGACAGGTCTCCTCATGCCCAGGGCCAAGTGTGGGAGGTGGCAGAATGGACAGGGATGGAACGTTTGCACATGGGTCTCACCACAGAGCAACGGTGCGGCTGTGTTGCTCGTGGGCACACGAAGGTACTGTGACCCGCCCCTCTCGGTAGGACCCCTTAGGATCTACTTCTGGTTGATGGCCACAGCCACTACCTGTGAGGTCTGGCACTATGGCCGCAGGCTGCTTTTGTCTTGTTACCCTGTCCTCAGCCTACCTGAGATCTTTACTGTCCCTGTCTGGGTGACTGAGCCAGGCTGCACTTTCCAAAGAACCAACACATCTCTGTCATTTGGCTTGAATTTCATTTGATATATAAATAAATACACACACACACACACATCCTAATTGTTTATGGACTATATATTTGCAAATTTGCCTACTTGCTACAATTTACCAAAGTCAATACTGGCAGCGCTTTTGTGGTCATTCCTGGACACATGAAGAGCAGGGAATAATTTGATGTGCATCTTCTCAGCTGAGGTTAAACAAGGTGACAGCCTGCCTTCCGTTTCAGCTCTCATACTATAAGCAAGTGTCCTTTTCACAGTCTATTTAGTGCTATGCTTTTTGCATTTTTGTGATTTTATTGGTGATTTTGTTGTTAAAAGTGGTTCCCACATGTGGTACAGCTGTGCTGTCTAGTGTTCTTAAGTGTAAGAGGCCATGATGTGCCTTACAGAGAAACTATGTGTTAGACAAGTTTCACTCAGACAACAGTACTATTGGCTGTTGATTCTATGTTAATAAGTCAACACTATGTATTAAATAAGGTGTCTTAAACAGAAAACCTACATAAAACAAGGTTATGTATTGATTGGTTGATGAAAATGTGTGACCAGAGGAACATAACCCTGTATCCCCCCAGGAGCAATGGTTTAGGATTCACTAATCCCCTACTCACTCACATTAAAGACCATAACCATAACCACAAATAATGAGAATCAACTGCATATATATCATTTCTCCTCTCCGTTGCTTCACCCAAATAGTATTTGGAATTTTTCTATTTTAGTGTAGTTCAAATCATGGCTTAAGAATCCTATTGTCCTTTATATCTGTTTGTTTGTGAAATTCTGATCCGAGGAAGAAGGACTATGTCCATGGCTGGTGCTTTCTCTGTGTTACGCACTGCATCCTTGGGGACAGAGAAGAGGGCAACAAAGCTTTGCTCTCAATGAGCTCATGCTATCCTGTCACGGCAGTTCTTGGAAAGAGCATTGCTTTAACGTTGGGTCCCTGGCTATTTTCCAAGCTCTGGAAACCGGTAATCCTGTTGGACCATTTCATATTTGGTTTGGCTTCTAAAATGGTCAAACTAAACTGCTCTAGGAGCTAGTTATAGTCATCCCAGCAAGTCCAACACTCATAATCAAACCAAAGGGTGATTACGAAGGTTGGCAGCTTGTGCAGGGACTACAGTCCTACTGATCTATGATCAGAAATTAGAGGCCATTGTTGGTCAATTCCTCCTACAAGCTATTTCATGTTGCTTCTGCTTCTTGCTCTCCTGGTATACATGGACATCCTCAGAGAAGATGATGTTTCCAATGTGAATAAAAGGTTGGCACAGGTAGGCTTGTAGACAGTCAGACACCTCCTGTCTATATGTTAACAACCAGAGCATAAGTAGGAGCCAGAGAGGGAAATTACGTAGATCTACTACAAATTATATGTATGTGTGTGTGTTTATATATATATATATAATTTGTAATATATATATATATAATTTGTAGTAGATCTACACATTCCCCCTCTGTGTGTGTGTGTGTGTGTGTGTATATATATATATATAATGAGTGGTCCATATATGTATATGGATGTGGACAAATATAGGCATGGATGGCTTTTTCCAGGGTATAATGTAAGAGAAAGATGTAAAGGACAGAGAAGGAAGTCAGAGGGACCCCTTTGATGGAGAGAATGAAGGTTGATGGTGAAGTTTAAGAGTTGATCCTGGAAAGCCGGTTGAGAGACAGATCATCCTTTACCCCTCTATCTTGTCTTCTTCCTCCCTGTTGATACTTCCTTAATCAGGATGCTGAAGCTGTGTGCTGCAAGCTCCAAGCTAAGAAAGATAGTGTGGAGAAATGTGTTTTTGTTTGCTAGTCCCAAGGTTCTCAGGGACCTTGTTAATTATGGGTCTTGTGGAATGCAGGGGGCAAAAGGCAGGCTGCCAAGGACCCAGGAACACGAGAAGTGTTCTGGCATTCAAGAAGGTTGCCCAGCTCATATCTGTAGCTCTTCTAGGAACCCTGATATGAAGTGAAGGAGAGAAATGGGGCAGATATCCAGCAACTTAAGACTCAAAGTGCTTCAAGGCAGTAAACAGAGAAAAGGGGAGGAGCAGCCACACAGGGGATTCTATGACCACAAGTAAATGAGTCACGAAGAAGTCAGCGTAGCCGGAGAGAATTTTGTCCAGGTCAGCTTGGCAGCTGACCTCCATCCACAGATGTGCAAGGAAGTAGATGAAAGAAAATGAGTAGGGTTATCTACGGATGGTCCCAGACTGATGTTCAGAAGCTTGGGTAGAGGAAGCCAGAGAATTTGGAGAGGAAAGGTCACTGGAGTTGCCAAGAAAGACAGCTAGCCACAAGGGTGTGAAGAAGATCTTACATTTCCTTTGGGTCATTTTTTTAGAAACTCAGAACTCTAATCAGGGCTTGTTTGCATGAATTCACTCTCAGCATGCACTTGGGGTCCTCTCTGTGCTCAGACAATATAGAGCCAGTGGAGAGCATGGCCAGACGTTACTTCCAAAGCATCCATCCAAGGACTGCATATCTACCAACGGCTACCTTGTCCTAGAGGAGGACAGCCTCTGCTTCGTGCTCCTGGACTTGGGGGAGGCATGTTTTTGATTGCTGCTCCAGCTTGGATTGAGAGATGGTAGATTCGTGATGAGGACCCTGGTAGGTAAGAAGACCAGATTC